CATCAGACTGATGACCTAGATGAAGTCAGAACCAGCTGACTTTGTGCCGGACTGCTCCCTCTCTCTTGTCAAAATGTGTGCGTGTCCCCACAACAATGTAGCAGACATGGGCTGTGGCTAGTCTGCTTATTCAACCCCCCCGCCAACACACACATGCACACACTTGGCCAAGCATTGCACCCCTGGCTATTATACTGAAGGCTTTGTCTGTTGATACAGACACAGCGGGGATGTCCAACACACACGTGCTGGGTCCTGAATGCTGTTGACCACTATAACACATACATACACAAAGTCTGGATGTGGGGTCTAACATGTGTCCCATTTGTATTCTATATGATATATCTGTCTAAGTACCCATGTGTACTTAGATACTTAGATGAGTCTAACACTAAACTTAACTCTAAAATGCCTCATTCCTGTTTTTTTTTCTGGACATGTTTTGACCAACACACACACAAACAGCATAGATGATAAATACAGTGGTGAACCATGAATATTAGAGCTAGGCCTTCAGTCCAGGCCATAACTGTCAAAACTCATTTACTCCTCTGTGTCAAAAAGCACCTCTAGGATAATGCCTTTTTCTGCTAGCTCCCCCCTGAGGTTCTAGTAGTATATTAGCGCAGCAATTTACATGAAATTTTTTTTGGCTGATTCAACTTCCAAAAGGCCTGGTCCCACCAATTGTAAATCAATACTTTGTTGGTTGATTCCACTGTCAGTTCCTAATAACGTTGGTGGTAATCTGATACATTAGGCCTTCCGTTCAGCTCCTGAAGTCCTAACCAGTAAAACAGCTCAATGGCTGTTCTACTTAGACATGGGAGAAAAATACAATTAGACACTATTGACCTCAATAGACAATTTTCCATTTGGTGTTTTAAGATGTTTCCAACCAAAACTTAACAATTTAATACATTAATGCTTGAAATTAACTAAACTTAATTACAAACATGTATTTCACAGAAATCACTAGGCCTTAGAAGCCCCTGAGGGTTCCCCAGTGATAAAATAGTGATTAAAAAAGCCCTTTCGACAGAAGAAAGCATGACTGTAGCCTAGTCTATGCACGCAGTATGGCTTAGCCCTGGCTGCATTAGGTGTGTGTCCCTGTTCCTCGTGTTTATGCTAAGCCAATGAGTTGGCAAAAAGCAATTGCATAATCCCCATTCAATTCCAAATTGTGGACGAGGTTTATTAAAGAATGTGAATCAGCTTATGTCTTCCAGAAGCCAAAAATAGAAACTTAACAGTGGAGGATTATGGAAACATCAAAGACAGATTAAGAAAAAAATGTAATGTGCTCTTGGTGCTATCTCTGTCATGCTCGTATAGATGTCTCTATACGGATCCTTTTCATTACACGGCTGAAATAATGTGCCTTTTTTTGTCTCTGCATTGTTCCCAAGCTCCGGTAGGCATTGCCATCTTCCATGCTAATGCAGTTCCAGAATGAGTGCAGATATGCGCAGAAATAGATTTGGTACAATTACAAGGAGTGCTTGCTAAGACCTACAGCACAATAAATAGCTTCAGTAGAGGTTTAACTGTGGTCACACATAGATGTGTGATACATAAAAAGCAAAGCCACCAAGGTTTCTAGTCTATAAAATTAGGTGTTTGAAATGCCAAAGCATATTGGTTTCATAAAGATGCTCTCAATAGCTCTTACATAAACATATAATCCTTAGGTAAGGTTTTCGAAGATCACTGACATCTTGAACGTCCACATTTCCTTCAAGATGTCACTTTATAGCATAGCATTAAGACGAATGTCTAATGCCAATTACCAAGATGGAGCAACAGACAGTAAATCCTGTATGTCTGTAGGGACAAATGCCAAGAAAAGGGCTGCTAGGGCCTTTTTATATGGATTGTGAAAGCTTGTATTATGCAATCTGCCTCTCATATGATACAGTGCTCTCCCACTTGTTTTGGTCAGAGAAATCCATGTGCTGGATTGAGAATGATCCTTGCAAACTAATCTGCTCGGGAATTCAGTATTCCCATGAAAACATGCACAAGTGTGTTGGACAAAGCGCAGCTTGGAACAGTAAGCTAAAGCTCTAAGCCTTGCACGTCCTGCATACGTGCCCCTAAAAGTAACCTAATTTCAGCTGTGTGCCAAATGTGAGTCACCTTGTGAAGCCTAATGTTTTATGGCATGTCTACTGGGAATGGAACAGGACCCAGTGTCTGGGGAACATGTCTGCCTTTGGGCTACTTTAGAAGGCCTTTAGTCTAGTTTTCATTACCTCCAGACTTGTAGTCCACCAAGTTTTTGTTTTACCCCACCAGTAACACACTTGATTCAGTAAGCTAACAATGTGATTTGGGTGAAGGAAAAACACCCAACTTGTCTTAATAGCCTTAAAATAATACTCCAGCTTACATATGGTCAGTTACTAACCCATTTTGACACTTCAATTTTGAAATCCTGGACTTCTTCTATCCATGAGTTTCATATGATGTCATAGCACTGACCACCATATTAACACAATGCAATAAGTAACTGGAGTATTTGAATTATGCAAAAAAGTAAAAATATATATGATTGAGTGCTTCTACACTCTTAAAAAGATGGCTCTTCAAGGGTTCTTTAGTAAAAAAAAAAGGTTCTATATAGAACCATGAACACTCACAGAACACCTTGCATGATTAAAGGGTTCTTTGCATGGTGAAACTGTCCTTCAGATTGATGAAGAATGTGTTGTATATGGTTCCATATAGCAGCTTTTTGAAAATGGCTCTATATTGGTTCTGCTATTGTTATGATGTCAAGATTGTAATGTGTAATGTGTTGTATATGGCTCTATATAGCACCTTTTTGAAACTGGTTCTATATAGCAGCAAAAGAGTTCTGCTATTGTTACGATGCCATGCTTGTAACGATAGAAGAACTCTTTTAGTGCTAGTCAGAATCCTTTTCTTTACTAAAGAACCCTTGAAGAACCAATGTTTTAATACATTATTCATCCTTTGCTCTTCATTTTGTTAATGCAAAATAACTTACTCTCTTTGCAGGTGGAAAAAAGTAATAAAAAAACTTTTCCAAGCTGTCCTATTTGTTTTCGACTAAAACAACACATATCATGTCATACTTACAGCCACCAAATTCATAAGTAGAAAGAAGTCACTGAAACTTATAGACAAGTGTATTTTCGTGGACTCTAATGGTGCTTTCAAGTGGTCTCGAGTTTTATCAGAAACTCGAATATCCCACCAGGAAGCACCACATGAACGCCCTTTAAAGCTGGATGATGAAGTCAAGTATAAAGAAATTTTCAATGCAGCACTTACTTGCTGAGTTCTGACGTCAAAGCTATTTTCATCATGGCGAGGGATGAAGCAAACAGTTAAATAACGAAAAAGCATTCAGACCAACTGTGCAAATATAATAAATGGTAATCGTCAGGTTTTAAACGTGTACAGTTAACTTACATTTTATTTCTGCTTCGTATGAGTTCAAAACACCAGTAAAATAGGCCAAAACCAATAGACGCCAGCTATCTAATAAACTGCAACGCCCATTTCACAACCTCAGCACTCTGTTTATCTCTCATGTAGACCACATGATCACGTATGTTGAGTAAACAGTTCCTTCTCAGAGAAAACTAGGCTGAAAAAAGCTGGAGTATTTCTTTAATATTAAGTGTATTGCTGCCTTAAAGGGCAAATCCACCAATTTTCTTAAAATATTCTACATAATTAAATGCTTGAAATGTAAACAAAGCCATTCAGAGTGGTTTGGTGTGAAATGCTCTGTTCTAGAGAAACTTACAGTAAGAATTGTTCACAGTGGTGATTGGAACCAGACGTCCACCTCTAAAAGCTCCCTCATAGAACGTTATTACATGAAATGATTAGGTATACGCTGCTTATGTCTGACACATTGTTTTATCATAGTTTTGTGATAAGGTTTTCGGTTAAAATGTATTTGAATCCATTCATTGCAGAGGGGTACATGTAAGGTGCTGTAAGGCAAAATAGTTCCCAAAGAACCTTTTTTTTTCAGATTTATGACTATTTTACTATCATCATTACATATAAAAACTCAGAAGGCATGTGTAGGTTCAGTGGTGGTTTTGGATAGTAAATAAAATGGCTATATTTGTGTTGTAGACATGGCAGACCCTGGTTCCTACCATCTATCAAAGAAAGCAGAGTCTGTACGTTTCTCTGCAATCAACCGTTTTACATCCAACCACTCTTATTGAGAAATTTTCAGAAATTTTGGAGGAATTCCCCTTTGGAGGTCGTAACACTTGGTTTGTGTTCAAGTGGCTTGGTCGGAAACGAGATAGATGCACTAGAAATAATGTTTTTAGTGCACTTTTATTTTTCTCTCATTAAAGAAAGTGTTTATTGTACGTTACTCCGCCAACGTGAAGAGCAGAAGATGAGTTAGAAGCATCACATAACGTGTTTATATTTGTATTTTCGCCTCTGGACGATACATATGTGGCGGCTGAATAACTGAAAAACAACCAGTTTGTCAGCAGCTACCGTTGCTTTTTCGTTGAGACGGGACTCATCGAAAGATCCAACTTTCCCACCAGTAAATACGACATTGTGGTGATTTTCACAATTATTACCTTTTTTCTTGTTTGACTGCGCTGCGTACGATAGCTCACAAAACCTTAACCTGCTTCTCACAATTATAGCCTGTTTTATTATAATAGCAGTAGACAAATCATTCTTCTTCTGCATTCCTTTCGGCCTCTGGCTCTGTGTGCCCTATAACACCCGGGAGCTGTTTTAAACGCTGCCCTTTGTACCTTTTCTCCTCAGAGCCACTTCTCTCAGTTTACAGCCGTTAAACTCGACTCAGATGTTGCCTTCTGTTCACTCCTAGTTGTGGCTGCTTTTCGGCTAAGCCGGTGCCGGTGTCTTAGTGGACAATTCGTGCAGTGGGCGGGGCCAGCGGACGTGTGTGGTCGAGAGGCTGTCAGTCACTCCACAAGGCCACGCCCCCCCGGCGTGAGAGAGGAGGTTTAGCGACTGTTTGCGGTTTCGTGTGTGTAGGCTGAAACACAGTCACATATGACAGGGCACAGCGGAACTGCAGGGCTGCAGGCGAGAAGAACACAGCCGCTTTTGACATGTTTTAGGAAAAATGTTTCACCTGGTTCCTTTCAGCCGTGTTGTTCACGGCTACGGACAATGTCTGGCTTCACGTCGCTAACTGTTGTTCCAACGTGACCGACGAGACGAGTGCTGGTAGACACCACAGCGTTTCTGCAGATAGGCTACCACACGCAAACTGACAGCACTTCTCACCCGAAGGACGAGCTGTGAAAGCCAGAGAAGGAGAAACGATGGCGGGGCAAAACGACTGCTGTGTCAAAGTCTGTCTAAGGTAAGACAGGGTCTTCTTTTTTTTATTCCACGTAGAAATTCTGCCGACTCAGGTAACGTAACGTAACGTTGGTGTCTTGTGCAGACTAACGGTCGTTTCCTCTTTGTGTGAGGAGACTGACACGACGGAGAACGGTTAGCTAGCACACACGTTAACTCGTCGTGTGGTCGTATACAAGCTTAATAAAAGAGTTTTAAGACAGTCATGGCTGTGTGGCGGTGTTTTTGGGCGGTGCTGCGAGAGGTAATGCACGAGACGAGGTGTGAGGTGGGTCTCGCGCGTTTTACACACAGGGCTGAAGCCCCCTGTGCGTAAAATAGCACATCCTGACAGACTATCATCTAATATTTAGCATTTTTCTACAACATTTCCTCACACATATTCCCTTGTGTGACAGCAGCTGTAGTGCAAGATCACATTTCATCATATCTTCCGACCTGCACTGCAGAAGTCCATACATCGAGCTCCTGGGGATTTTAGTAACGTACTATGGAGTTTGCAAGAGTAATAAAACATAATTTTGCTACAGGACTAAGCTGCAAAGCAGTGCCTCCCTTTAAAAGCAGTGGACTGTCATGTTCTTTGTTAATACCCTCTGGCTGCTCAGGATAAAGGATTGATCCACTGTAGAGGAGGATTCAGTGATTCAGTGTGATTGTAGCTCGCTGTGCATCAATGCAAGTCACATTGACGTTTCTGATCAAGTGCAGGGGGTCGATGAGTTCATGAAATAGTGCTGCATGTGAGCAGTCGAGGACAGTAACCAGCCAGGGTCTGAACCTAGACCTGGTCCGCCTATTGTCTGCTTACCACTCTTCTGAGATCTGACCTGAGGGTGGTTTGGTGGGGGGGAGGGGGCATGAGTGCAGTTCAGTCTGTGGTCAAGAAATGAGGTGTAATGGTCCTCTGAAGCCGAGCGTGACAGACAGCCCCATTTCCCCAGGCTGCGAGCCCCGTCTGTGGCTTCCTTTGTGCTCTGCTGCTGCAAAAGAGGAAGCACTATGTGCTAAAATGCTGAAAGGGCTGAGCCAAGCCTACGGCTGATGAGCTTTGTATTAGGAAGTGAAGCTGCAGGTGCATGCTTCTGCATTGACTGCATCGGTGTGTTCTGCACAGGCATGGCATGCACGCTGTGGAGGTCATACCTGCAGATGGGAGGGTGCCGTTGCATCTATGAATGAAGTGGTGCTCACGTGGTCCTCTGAGCATGACAAAGGCGGCAGCACTGCCAGTTTAGAGGTTTACGTCATCCAAGAACACGTCTGTCTGGCACCTCATGCACTTTGTGTGGGCACCTTAGGGACAACCAGCCTGGTAGTGTCATGTGGGCAAGATGCACAGAGAATTTGAGAGTTGTAGAATTGTCTGTTCTATTTAGTAATATCTCATCAGGAATAGACATTGCCAGGTATGATCAGGACAGAGAAAGGACTAGGGGTCAGCAATGTATCAAAAACATATTATAACAATACTTACTACATTTAAAAATGATTTTGAAAACTATGAAAAACAAGATTTCACTACATTCAATAAAGCAAACTCAAGGTGTTTCCATAACAGGGCAAAATCTTTGCTACATCACTTGCAGATGGTCAGTGTTCTGTAAAGATGGGCGATACCCACAACATACTCAGAAAAACTAATCTTGGCAGAAATGATTGTAATAACGATATATTGTAATACAAAAAGACTGGCAGTCTTAACTGTTCATATATCTGCTCCATACAATTTCCTGAAAGCATTGCTCAGCCTGGACAAGAACAGCAGACATTACCTTTCCTCCAATATCAACACCCTCTTTAATATTATTTTTAAGAAATATTGAATAATCACATTATGTATGGCAGTTATTTTGCCTTTTACCATTGTTGAGTTCAGTGCTGTGTAAGTGGCAATAGACTTGTATAGGTGGTCATTGATTATGATGGACAGTCTTAAAGATTTCTGTGGTCTGGGCTAAGTCTGTGGAGTAAGTATCATGGTTTTGCATATAATCTTTCTTCCCACATCTTGTCTGATTCAGCGTTTGCTGACCCATCCCCATAGTGTTTTTTTTCTGTGCCCCCTCCTTTTCCTGCTTTTCCGTAATCACTGTTAATGCCTGTCGTTGAAAGATTGATTTTTCTTCTCCTCCAGTGGGTGGGAACCAGTGTTTGTATTTGTGTGTGCGTGAGTTTCTCCCCTGGGCCTGTGTCATCTGCAGGCCATGCTTTTCTTTGCCCCCACCCTAGTTCTGGCACACAAAAAGATCTTCAGAAGATGTTGAGTCACTGGTGTTATAATTAGACCCAAAGAGAAAATGTGTTTCGAGGCAACTGTTGATGATTCTCAGGCGATACAGGACAGGACATCTATAAAGTGTTGACTTTGCGTCTGCCGTTTGAGGCAGCTCTCAGAAATGTCTGGAGTCTGGAGATCTGGAACCCGTATCTTGTGCCTCCTTTGGGAATTGTCTGGAATACATAATCATATGTTACTAAAAATACTTTGTCTTGCTTTGACACAAATTTAAGTTTAATAGTTGCCAAACTGCACAATCTGAGCGATGCCCCATCTCAGGGATGAGGACAGGAGGCCGCCGGTTTTGAAAAATGTATGTCCTGTTTACATGTCCAGTCTGCTTCCTCACGACATTGTTTGAACTTTTGCTTGGGCTAGACTGAGAATGTGTGGGGTTTTTTGGGGGAGCTGGTTTTAAGAGGTGAACTGTGTGGGAACCAGTCTCGTAATAGCCCTGTTTATGGGAATGGCCCCCTTCCTCAAGGCTGCAGGGGTGAAGCGTGAATGATTTGGGCTTGTTAAGATCTCCTCTTGATTAAGAGCTTCATGGTAGCTTTACAGACGTGCTCTTCATTTCCTTCTCATTGAAATCACATGTTGAGGCCATTTTGACCCCCAGGAGGCATGACTATGAGTCTTGTTTCTTTGAACTGACGTAAAACCAGTTTGATTCTAAGTGAACTCAGATTTTGAGCATTGGAGCAGGAATTATCTAGATGAGTTCAGATCAGCACCGAATGGCACAAAAGGGAGGAACACTGCAGTGACTTTGCTGCAGAGGTGTCCTCCACCTTTGTGTTATAAACTCTGCATTGCTTGCGTAATTGTGAGGCCAACCACATGGGCTCTGCCCCACTTGTGACAAGAAGAGAGAAAAAAAGGGTCCTAATGCAGCTTTTTAGTCCTGACAAACCGCTTAACTGCAGCTGCAGAAACAATTCTTCAGGGCTGTGCCAAATCAGTTGATAATGAATTTGATAATTTGAGTAATCTGAAGATTAATTTAGGCAGTCTGTGATGCACAACCTAGGGATGGGGGTAGGGCTTGTCTATAATGTGGTGTAATGATGTAGTTATGACTTGTGGAACAGTCTATTGTCTTCTAAGGTCTCTTTCGCAGCTCCATTAGTGATTTCGGACTGTGTATGCGAACAGAATGACTTCCCCTCAGCCACGCGGGCCAGAGGCACTCCTTCACGCTGTTTCCTGTTGCCGTAGCGTTACGAATCATCTCGTCAGAGCCAAGGGCAGGATGGGCGGAGCAAGCCCTGAGTGATCTAAGATCTGCTGCAGTCGTCCCCGAACCACAGCATGCGTTGGCATTGCTTCTGACACAAAGCAGTGCTTATCACAGGGGAGAGGGCAAAAATTTGTCTAATGCCAAGCTACGACACGGTGCACATGCCTGTGTTATGGTGTTTGAGTTAAAATTACTTCTTTAAAACAAGTTAGGGCTATCTCTTTCAAAAAGAATCAAAGCTCTCGGTAGAAACACCAAGTCCTTTGGTATTGGTATTGAAAAGCCGGCCAGCAATACTATTACATGAAAGTAAAGGTCCTTCAGTGGTGTGACACCATAGGAAAACTTGAGTGGATGATTTTTAAAAGAACCATTCTTGTAAATAAGATGTGTGAGAGTGAAGAGCCTTTGTAAAGTTTAAAGAACCTCCAATAAGCTTTTTCTTAGAACCACCGAAAAAGGTTTTTCCTAAAACTGTTCGCCCAAGCCAAGAACCCTTTTTAAGAGTGCACAGTGCTCATTTTAGGGAGTACAATGCACTAGTGAGGAAGCGAAGGCCGAAGAGGTCACGGCTGTATTTCTGTGTCCTACTTATGACACTAATCTGCTTTCCTGCAACCCACAGTAGCCTTGCAGGCCTTTTTTAATAGGCGAAAACATTGATGACACACAATTGCAAGCTCTGCATAAAATATCACAAGCCATAACTGGCTCATAGCTCTTGCTTGCCTCAGGCTCTCTTTTTAAAAGGCCATCCACAGCCACCTCCTCTGTCCCCAATACTTTCAATGAAACGACAGTGAGGAGGAGAGATAGGGGCGAGGGAGCAGGGGACGGAAAGAAAGAGAGGGAGTCAATTGACGTTGTCCTCCTCGGTTAATTAGATGCTGTCCTTTTGGACTCCATTGCCTGATAGGATGAAAAGAGTAGCTGTGTTTTGAGATGAAAAGAGGAAGAGATCGGGTGGAGGGGAAGCAGGGGGAGGGAAGGAGAGAGAGAGAGAGAGAAATATAGAGAGAGAAAGCAGGAAGTGTCTCTTTCTCTTTCAGTGTCAAAAGGGCGGCAGAGGAAAAATAAACATTTAGCCCTCGCTGGAGGCAGACAAAGAAGAACATTTTGTTAATTGTGAGTGTGGTATAGATGATTCTGTGTGTGAGCAGGACGACAAGGACGCACAGCTGTGTTGCTGTTACAGTCTCCCACACACAGTGGTCCATGGGCAAAAGAGTAAGGGGCTTACTGCTGCAGTCTGGAGCCAGGTGTGGACCCCTTGGGAGGCTGAATAGCAACTGTGTTTTACACACACATACATCCTGGGATAGATGCGCTTAGATGACGTGAAAGGAAACAAGCATTAAAAGAATGAATTATTGTGACATGTCGGCCTCCAATTATATATTAATGGAGGGCTGAGTGCTGTGTAAGTGTATGGGTAGGTCATTTGGATTAGGACTGAACAGTCAGGGATACATTTATACTG